ATTCCTTTTCGCCGCGCTGCCTTGCGCTCCGTCGCGCTTCCCTCTAGTGAGCGTCAGCCTTTAGGCTCAATACAACTCTCCCAGAACAAAATTTTACAGCTTTCCAGGTTTTCACACCGATTTAATCAAAAGCAAAAATAGATTCAGAAAATTCGACTTCTAAAATTATAATTATGTACCTTTAAAAAAAATTGTTATTGTTCAGATTAACCCAATTGTGTCCCAACTAGCAAAACAGGTGCGTAAAACTATGCTCGCCTACCGTAGTTAAAGCAGTCGGCGTGTTATTACCCATCTAAAAAGTTTTATTCTCATGAATAATAAATTATAATAAACGTTAGACCTTCTGAAAATATCAAAAAGCTTACATTTTTTTTTAAATTATTACAAACTGCACCTACTAACTGCAATACTTTTCAAATAATACTATAACAAATATTTTGTGTACTCGCTATTTAAGCTCGTGTATTTGAATAATGTGTATATGAATTGTGGCAGTACCCTCGGAAAATGCACCATGCCTATAAACCTATCCTTGAATCCATGTGGGGTATCTGAGTTTGTGCAATACGATATTGAACATGAGTGCCAACTTTTAGCGGATTTTGCTACGTTGTCAAGTTCAAACAAAAAACTCACTGATATGTTTTCAATAAGAATGAAGTGACTATCTACGTAGGTTAGAAGATCTAAGATTGCAATAACCATCACGGTAAGTATACTTTAACTATTTTGTTCTATTATACTACTTGTATTATTGTCATAACATGGTATACTGACCTCCAAAAAGTTCACAATAAATTAGAAATTTGTTTATTATTGAGTTATCGAGAAATAAATTACCTTAGATTAACAATATATTTCAATAAAAAAAAATTTGTTGCAAAGACTTTTTGATGGTCACTGTATAAAACTTTGAATAAAAATATTAAAGACATAAATTGATATCCTAAATCCCCATTTTTGGCAGTTCTGTTTGACGTTTTAATTGACACATTTGATTTGATTTGAAATTTTGTCAATTTGTTGGACTTTTCTGAGCTTATTTTACGTTATTTCTGATTTATTCTACAAATGGTTTTGATTAGAAGTAGTAAATTTAGAAGAACACTGTGTCAGAACTTAAATTAATAGTGACATTATACATTATTGTGAATCCAAAAAAAGACTGTAAAATAGTTAGTTGTGCATACGTCAATGGGCGCATTCAGTACACACACCGGTTAGTCCAACGGTGTAGAAAATTAAAGTGAATGCCAATGGTAACTCACCGGTTGTGGTCACTTGAGAGCCTACCGTATTTTGTTTCCGGTTTATGTACATACCGGTCGGCGCATGTTGTCATAATTGTCACCTGTCACATTTTTTGTTGTCTCGATCGTTCAATAAAAAGTTATCGGTGGGTCATTACCGGTTGATACCGGTGTGTTTACTGAATCCGCCCAATTTGACTTAGGCATTTCAGTAGCGTACCTGATATTTTTGTTGTTAAATAACTATTATAACTTATCTATTATCATAAGAAATTATTGAAATTGAAATATTTTTTAATAACGTAAAACAAAATCAACAAATTATTGAGTCAACTACACATTACATTTTTACACGTTTTAAATAAAATTAGAACGGCACTGATGAACCTGAATATAAGATAATAAATCCCTCATCGAGCTTCACTTTAGAGTCTGTTGTACTGCTTCCTTAATATCTTTATTCAAATGAATGACATAAAACATAACCTAATTTTCTATGTAACATTACAAATAATAATAAACATGTAAGAAAAGAATATAATCTTCCTTCTACCAACATGCCTGCATGCTGCATCACAAAACCACGTAGCCCCCAAGAATCCTGCAAACCTAAGTATACCTGTCAAACAAAAACATGTACCACTGATAACACGCATACATATACATCTATACATTGATAGCAAGTCAGAGCAAATGAGATGAACGAAAGATAAATAAGGAATAATAATTGTATAAAAGTCTAGCAAAAATTGACTTTTTTGCATGGAAACTTACTGAAAACATATATGTATTAGTGCTTAAACTCAGATGATGGTGAAATCCGTATGGTGCTACGCACACGTCACAAGGTCTCTGCAACCTAGGTAACACAGGTAAGACATATCAAAGCTAGGCTTCACTTACTAGAACATATATACTACACGGATGTCAATATATCATACGTTTTTTTTCTACATCTTTCTATATGACTAAGAAGCGATTTATACTGATTGAAATCCTGTATGATCATAAAAAAACAACTTCAAAGACTGCTGACAATCGATAATAATTTCGGCGAGGTCAATCTCTAGGCGTCATTTACTAAAAAGTGTCAAAAAAATAACACTAATTATAGAGAGATTAAAAACGGATAGAACGTTTTCAGACACAAACGAGGACACAAATCTATTTCCAAAAAAAATATTTTTTCTCGAATTTTAAACTACACCTTTAAAAATCATTTTTACCCAATATAAAAATAAATTACAACCTTCTTAAGGCCAACTGACAGTACGCGCCATTAAAATATGAAGAAAAGTACGGACCAAGCAAATAATGTCTAGTGCTTCACCCCGCCAAAATTATCATCGATTGTTATTCCCCAGCCGTCTTTGACGCCGGTTTTTTTCGATCATACGGTATTAAAAATAAATATTATAGCTTCATCCACAAAAGTATATATGACCTAGCCTTCATT